CCAAAATCATGGGATTTGTCACATTCCTGAATCAGTTTCTTTTTACACATTTTGCCTCTAAATATGGTTACCTTACATCTGAGGGGAGAGTTATGTAGGTAATTGTTAAAAGCAGCTGAAAAGACCATTTATCACCCTGAATAAACAGAAATCAGGTTCTAAAACCAGATTGGAAGGAGGAAATTACATCACACTGTTAAATAAGGAAGCACTGGGCAGAACTGGATGAGTCGAGGGACAAAAATGTGCCCCTCCTCTTGTGGGCTGCTCCTGAGATTTATTAATGAGATCTGGTGGCCAGGTAAGCAGATCTAGGTTACTGTCTTAAGGTAGCCCGGTTTTGTAAAACACTCAAAGACGCTGTCCTCGAGGGGAGGTTCACCTTAATGAAGAGCGGGCAAAGTGCTTCTTGGCGTAGCTTTTTTGGTTTGGTGTCTTGAACAGCAAAAGCACAGTAGGTGCTCTCCACGCCAGAAGAGATGAAGTGAGAGACGGGACACTCACAGTTGTCAGAAAGCACTCCCCTGATGGCTGTCAGGAAACATTCGGTACCAGAACCCGATGTAGTTTGGATTCTTACCCAGTCCGCCAGCGTCCACTTTGGACTTCGGAGATGAGCTTAATGAAAGTTGCCTGCTGTACCCTAAACGTGTCCCTTACAGCCCTTCGCTTTTTCCCTCAGTCCTTTGCTGATTTACAGTAGGTGTGAATCACGTAATTACCATTTTTTTAATGAGATGAATATTTTTTCAATGTCCACTTAGTAACTCTTAGAAACGAACGGGCCAGGATTCCCAGGAGGAAACGGGTCCTGTCCTGGAAGATTGGGAGGCTAGAGAGGGAAGGGGGCGCAGCGCAGAGAACAGGCCCTGCCCGCCCCCTCGTGGAGGGTGGGCTGAGAGCTGGCCCTGCCCGCCCCCTCGTGGAGGGTGGGCTGAGAGCTGGCCCTGCCCGCCCCCTCGTGGAGGGTGGGCTGAGAGCTGGCCCTGCCCGCCCCCTCGTGGAGGGTGGGCTGAGAGCTGGCCCTGCCCGCCCCCTCGTGGAGTGTGGGCTGAGAGCTGGCCCTGCCCGCCCCCTCGTGGAGTGTGGGCTGAGAGCTGGCCCTGCCCGCCCCCTCGTGGAGTGTGGGCTGAGAGCTGGCCCTGCCCGGCCAGTGTGGCTCACTGGTTGAGCATCCACCTGTGCACCAGGGGGTTCCCAGTTCGATTCCCGGTCAGGGCACATGTCCGGGTTATGGGCCCAGTCCCCAGTGGGGGGCGTACAGGAGGCGGTCAGTTGATGTTCTCTCTCATCGATGTTTCTATCTCTCCCTCTCCCTTCCTCTCTCTCTAAAATCAATAATATATATATATATATTTCAAGCTGAATTCTAGCAGATGTGGGGGAAAGAGAAGCAGTCAGAGGACAGAGGTAGAGGGGCCTCGCTGAGGAGGCTTTCGTGCCAGACCGAGGAGCTTTTAGTGGGAGGATCTCAATTTGAGCTGTAGTTCAAGAATACGGATCTGGGCTGATGCGCGGGATGGGTCGGCTGTTCCAGACCCAGGCAGAGGTGCCAGTGAGCGAAGGAAGGTGGTCTGAGAAACCACGCAGATAGACGTGCACCGTGGAGCTCGGGAACCGAGTACATCGGCTGCAGCTCAGGCTGAAAACGAAACGGTGCCTCTAGGGACGTGTGATCCTCCTGGGCCAGTGATTTTCCACCTTTTCATCTCGTGGCACACAAACGAATTGCTGAGATTCTGCCACATTAAAAAATACTGTACTTCTTGCTGATCTGACATAATTGATTAGGACAGTGTGATGCACTCACTCTGGACAGCTATTGCGTTGGCTGTTGTCATTTCTTTACTTGACAGCCTAAGGGACCAGAGGCCCGTGCCCCTGACTAAATAGTAGTCAGGTATTGCACATTTAAGAAATTCTTGTGGCGCCCCGGTTGGAAATGGCCGTCCTGGACCCGGAGCTGGTCTGGGAACGAGGGTGCCGGGAGTTTGGTTTGTAGAGTTGGGGCTGCTGGAGGACCGCCCGGTGCGAAGCAGTCACCGGACAAGGGAGCTGCTGAGTGGAAGCGGGAGCCAGGGCTGGAGTCCGGACTCGGGGCTCTGGGGTTGAAGGGTCGGAACGGGGGGGCGCACAGATCTAAAAGGACTGCCTCAAGAAACATGGTTTGGGGGGGGGTCCCTTGAACCCCCCCCAAAAAACCCAAAAAAGCAAGTGCTGTTTGACAGAGGAAGGAGTCCACATGTGGCATCTCACTGCCTTTTGACACTTCAGTGGCTACAGACGATTCAGGGGTTTGAGGACAGTTGTTCTGCCCGAGGTCACTCAGCTCCTGGTCTGCACCACTGCCTGGATAAGTCAGCACTGGCTTTCACACCTGCATTTCACGGCGCCCCTCGCGCCCACGGACCCACGTTCCCACGTGGGCATGCTGTTTGCTCTTGTGTGCGTGGTGAGGAAACACGTCGAAACACTGCGGCATTAAAGTGTACCGGGGCGGTGTGCTTTCTCTTTAACTGGAGGTTGACCAAACTGATTGATCCCCACCCCCACCTTCACCCCAGGAGCGTGTGTATTGAATACTTCGAGTTCGGAGAGTGATGCAAACGCATTTCAGGAGGTTTCGTACCCTCAGTGTGCCATCTGGGGGGCACACTGGGAGAGTGTTTCCAAACCTGTGGCAGGTGGCCCTCTCTGGGTCCACAGTGTAGTTACTCTCAGAAGAAGAGAACGTAAAATTGCATCGCCCTGCTTGCTTCTCCCGTGCAGGCAAGTAGGACGTTCCGACAGTTCCATAGCACGGCCGTTCACAATTCCCCATTGAGCTGTGAGCAGGTCACCTCTGAACACACAAAGGCTCTATTGTGGCCGGAAGTGAGCTGGCTTAGTGAACACAATTCTTTTTAGACTAAAAAAAATTTTTTCCTAAGAAAGCTAACAAGTAGGTGATGGAAACAATGAATTAAAAACATAACTTTTTGTAGAACATGTAAATGGTTTTGAGGGACCATTGAAATGTAAGATTAGAAGTGCGGCGATGTCGGCAGAGGCGACAGCCCCACGGTCTCCTGTTGAAAGCTCAGCGGCCACTAGTAGTTGCTGGCCTGCAGACAGGTGGGGGTGGGGCTCCAGAACCCCCCAGCGTCCCTGTCATGTGGGTGGAAGCCTGCAGACCACTGAAGGGCCATGTCCTTGCCCGGCTGTTCCTTCCCCGTCACCGGAGGCGAGTTCCCTGCCATCTTGCTGGTGCTTACAGGAGTGCCCAGCAATTTTTTCTAAAAATGGGTTTTTTAATTGTCTTATGGCTTTACTTGATTCACGTAAAGAAAGGAAAAACACATTTGCTTCATTTCAATGATCTAAAAAAACCGACCTTCAAACAAAAAAGACCTCCCCATGACTTAGGTTAGTGCGCGATGGGATCCAGTCCCCTCCTCTCGGTCACATATCTGAGAGACGGGCTCGCTTCACTATCTGAATACTCTAAACCTGTTTAATCTCTGCCTCGTGTGTCAGAACAGCTGACTTTGGGGAAGTCAGGAGCTGAGAATCAGTCACCGGGATGCACTGCCCTTACCTGCTCACTGACACATCACTCCCTCTCCATTCCTTCTATGTGGAAAGCAAGCACTCCTGCAAAGTGTATTTTATATGTTTAGCTAAAAAAGAGACTGTATTTCTTACACATTATATGCATTTGCCTAATAGCGATGATAATAATAGACAGTATTGGTACGAACATTCATTCTGTAAACACTCATTCATTGAGCTGCTGCTGGGTCCAGGCAGCGGTGGTTAATGATTGGAACACACGGCCTCTTATCTGAGTTCACAGTCTAGTAGGAGGTGACAGATTTGTCCTTAAAACAAAAAAATAACCTGCGCCCCTCCCCCCAGCCCAGTCCTCGGCACACCAGCTCTCGGTGGGTGCGTGCACTGTGGCTGAGGACGTGAAAGTGTTATAAAGCCGGGGTTACACCCACAGTGGGCAGATTAGGTCCTAAACAGCAGATTTCCCGAAGACAGAGCCCAGAGAGATGCTCGTTAACATTAGCATTGACGCTGTAGTGAAAAGTAAGATTAAAAAGAGGCTCTGGGGCCCTGGCCCTTGTGGCTCAGTTGGTGGAGAATCATCTCGTGCACTGAAAGGTTACGGGTTCGATTCCCGGTCAGGACACATGCCCTGGTTGCGAGTTCATTTCCATAGGTGTTTCCCTCCCTCCCTCTCTTTCTAAAATGAAAAACAGTTTTAAAAATACAAGAGGCTCTGGGGACTCCAGACCCTGGTCCTGGCAAGGGAGGGGGATTCCTGAACGTGAGGAGTCGGTAGATTATGGAAATTCGTGCTTCGTAGCTCTTCTGGTCCGGCAGCTCGTCTGCCTCTTAGAGACGGAGTGTGAAGAACGTACCTTTGCGCCTGTCCCTGAAAGGGAAGCGGAAGCCGTCCCGGGCCTTCCCATCACCCTGCAGAACTTGCCTTGTACAGGACAGTGGACATGTATCTTCCTATATTCCTTCAGTCCTGAGCAGTAATCTGGAGCATTGTCTTCCCGGCCAGCCCTGAAGTACAGAATCCACGTAAATGCTGGGCTGTGGCCTCGTGAGGCACCAACTGTGGGAGCGGTCGTCCGAGGGGTCGTCGGGTTTTCGCGAACATGCGTCCCGCGGGAGGCCACAGTGGGTTCCGCAGGTCGGGTGTGGGGGGTCAGAGAGCGCAGCGGGGGCTGTGTGCGCCCGGGGGTCCCCCCACCAGGAGCTCCGCTCTCCCTGGCCAGGGTTATTTCTCAACTCTTGAATTAAGACTTAGGAATAAATGACTTGAATGTCTTAAGTGTGAGTACACTTAAAGACATAAGAATGAATGCAAAAATGTCAGAATTAAGTAAAAGCCTGCAACCAGGTCTTTCTGTTCGGCATCCCCGGAGTTCTGCAGGATTGGCTGTCGATGGCCGTCTGTGAAGTGTTTCTTGTCCCCGCTCATCCCTTCTTTCCCCCTCTAGGTACCAGGAGCTGCTGGATGACTGACAGAGCCCTAGGAGCCCAGTGCGAGACACGATGTCAACCGCGGGAGTCGCTGCCCAGGAGATCGGAGTCCGCTTGAAAGCTGGGTTTCTGCACGATGGGCCAGCCATGGGGAACCTGAACACCTGCTGGGGCAGCCGCCGGGAGCTCGAAAAGTGCGTGTGCGCCCTGCTGCCCCGGGCTCTCTCTCGGCGTAGGACGGAGCGGGAGGGAGAGTGTGGTCCTCCCGGCTTCTGACCAAGATGTCTTTGCTGTATTTCAGTAACTTTTTAAACATTGACCCAATCACCATGGCCTACAGTCTGAAGTCGACCGCTCAGGCGCACCTGACGTCTCTTGGTACGTGTGCTTCAAACCCGGGAAGCTGGCCTGGGAGGGACGGTGGCGCGGGGGTCAGCGTGTCCTCCAGCGTCACTTTCTAAATGAGGAAGCAACTGAACTGCCTCCAGCGCAGTCTGACCCCTAGTGGCAGTGGCGCTGGGTAACTTATCCTCCCCAAACTGTTGTCCCTGATCCCCAACTAGATCTATCGGACATTCAAGAATTTGTTCTAATTAATTCCAGCCATGATACACACTAACTTTCACAAACCTTGGACAAGACCTCTCCTCTTTCTTACTAGTACTAAATGCCTGTTTGAGAGCCATCAAGTAGGATAAATGTTGACAAACACTTAGCAAGGTATGTAACATGCCATGTAGAACTCGCAGTGTGGACATTATGTCCCTTAGACTTTTGTCGGAGCTACTGATCACATTGCAAGCAAGTCCACCCACTGGCAGTCCTGTGATGGTGGCGGCGAGAGGGCCTGGTCGGACCTCCTCCTTGGCCCGTGTGTGGCCGCAGCGCCCAGTGGCTGGGCTGCCGTAGTGTGGCATTCATGGAAATGATGTGCTGTTCCTCTTCTGCGGGTTTTGCATGTCACAGAACCTGCCTGAGGGGTGGGTGTGTGCCACGCACAGGGCCAGGGGAGAGAGAGGAGGTGATTTGTTCTTTGAACCAGATCGCGTGCGTCAACCATCTCCCGGGCTCTGATTACCCTGCGGCGTTGCAGGGCGCTCTGGGCCTGGGGGGGCGGCAGTGGGCCGTCTCCACAGCAGAGGGAGCACGCTGGTCCTTGGCTAACCTCCCCGTCCTTTGCAGGGCGTGCCTCGACTTCCGCCCCGACCAACGGCCACCGCTTTGCTGAGCACGGCCCCTCCCAGAAGCCCAGCCTGCCCCCTCTCATTCTCCCCTCAAGTGAACACTGGGGACCCCACGATGAGGATCAAGTTGTGTGTGGTTTTAAGAAACTGTCGGTAAATGGGGTGTGTGCTCCCGCCCCTCCACTCACACCCATGAGGAACGGCCCGTCCCCTGTTCCCTGCGCGGCGGGCTCCAGGCCTCTCCCCCCGCTGCCCATCTCGGAAGGCTTCTCCCTGGATGACACGGACTGCGAGGTGGAGTTTTTCACCTGCTCCGACACAGACTGGCTTCTGGAAGACTGCGCCCCCTCCGAGTTCAAGTACGGCGTCCCTGGCAGGCGGAGCTTCCGCGGGTGCGGGCAGATCAACTACGCCTACTTCGAAACCCCGACCGTCTCTGTCGTGGACCTCAGCCAGGAGCCGGACCGCCACGCGGGGGGGCCGCTCTCAGACCCCCCTCCGCCTCAGAGCCACCGACGACTGCGCCGGTCTCACTCGGGACCAGCCGGGTCCTTCCACAAGCCGGCCGTGCAGCTCCACAGCTGTGTGCACAGAGCTTCTCCCCACTCCGACGAAGACAAGCCTGAGGTGCCCCCCAGGGTCCCCATCCCGCCCAGGCCCGTGAAGCCAGATTACAGAAGGTGGTCGGCGGAGGTCACGTCCAGCACGTACAGTGATGAGGACAGGCCTCCCAAAGTGCCGCCCAGGGAGCCGCTGTCACGCAGCAGCTCCCGCACACCGAGTCCCAAAAGCCTCCCGTCTTACCTCAACGGGGTCATGCCCCCCACACAGAGCTTTGCCCCCGACCCCAAGTACGTCAGCAGCAAAGCTCTGCAAAGACAGAACAGCGAAGGGTCTGCCAATAGGGTGCCCTGCATCCTGCCCATTATTGAAAATGGGAAGAAGGTTAGTTCGACACACTATTACCTACTACCTGAGAGACCGCCGTACCTGGACAAATATGAAAAGTTCTTCACGGAAGCAGAAGAAGCCAGCACCCAAATGCCGCCGTTCCCTGCTGACAGCAGTGTGGTCTCAGCCACGGAGAAGCTGGACCCCAAAACCAAAGTGGATCTGGGTGGCCACGTGAAGCGTAAACATCCATCCTACGTGGTCTCCCCGTAGGCTTGGGGGTCCCTGTTCAGCAGACGTTCTACGGGAGCAAATGGTTCTTAAGCAATTTTCCAGTTTGACTGAGGCTCACGGGAAAATGATTAGGCTGCAGAATAAACTGTTGAACTCTGTAAAGAGAGAGGTTGAGAGGTGCTGTTATGCTGAGGATCCCGGGTTTCTTAGCATTGGAGAAAAGTCTATCCAAGTCTATAAAAATGTGATGGTGGGGAGGGCAGGATGGGGAAACTTTTATATACACATACGTCATATACCTATATATAAACTCACGGGATAGCCGGAGTAGCAGGTTAACCAGTTAGTTACTATCTTAGAGTGACACGTATTCAGAATGATAGAAACTCACGCTGGACACTGACTCCTGATGGACTGAAAATTGAGCAAACAGAAGAAAACAGTATTTAGATCAGAATCATAAAAGAATTATTTTTGCTTAGTAAGTTTGAAGATTTCTGGCTCTTTGGTCTGTTATATTTTGTTTGATTTCTTTTTTTGCAGCCTTTTCCATGGGGCGCGGGGTGTGTGTTCTTACCGTGGCTGTCCTTACCTAGTTTAAAAGCTGTCCCAAGACCTCAAGACTCCCAGCTTCTACTTCCTGTTCCGCCAAAGGCAGGACAAGCAGTTTATTTGGCAACAATATTTCCACCTGTACGTCTTTCTTCTTGAAAACTAAGAAGATAATAGAACATGTTCCTCACCATCCCTGCTTTGTTCCGAAACCCACTGAAGTGGCCCACTGTCACCCACGCGAAGAGACAGTGGGACGCACAGACTCAAAGCCAACCGCTCACCAGTGTTTAGAATGTCACTTTTCAGCAATAATGAAACACTTAGCTATGTGATTGAGAGTTATCGTGTGGGGATGTGTGGTTTTTTTGGGGGGGTTTTTTAGACTATTAATAAACAAATACAACACAAGCTGGCCTTGTGTTGCTGGTTCCTACTCAGTATTTCCTGGGGATTGTTTGCTTTTTAAGTAAAACACTTCTGACCAAGAGCACAACATGTCTTAATACCGGAGGTCACATCAGCTTCGTTCTGCTTTTAAATCTCACAGCTGGTTGCTTCGCTGCACCGCTGAGACCGGCCCCCACCTCCTTGTCCGCACAGGCAGGCCGGAGGGGGTGCGGGGACCGGTCGTTCCGGCCCCACGTCCTTGTCCACGCAGGCAGGCCGGAGGGGGTGCGGGGACCGGTCCGTTCCGGCCCCACGTCCTTGTCCGCGCAGGCAGGCCGGAGGGGGTGCGGGGACCGGTCCGTTCCGGCCCCACGTCCTTGTCCACGCAGGCAGGCCGGAGGGGGTGCGGGGACCGGTCCGTTCCGGCCCCACGTCCTTGTCCGCGCAGGCAGGCCGGAGGGGGTGCGGGGACCGGTCCGTTCCGGCCCCACGTCCTTGTCCACGCAGGTAGGCCAGAGGGGGTGCGGGGACCGGTCCGTTCCGGCCCCACGTCCTTGTCCACGCAGGCAGGCCGGAGGGGGTGCACGGACAGGTGCGTTCCGGCCCCACGTCCTTGTCCACGCAGGCAGGCCGGAGGGGGTGCACGGACAGGTACGTTCCGGCCCCACGTCCTTGTCCACGCAGGCAGGCCGGAGGGGGTGCACGGACAGGTGCGTTCCGGCCCCACGTCCTTGTCCACGCAGGCAGGCCAGAGGGGGTGCGCGGACAATGCGTTCCGGCCCCACGTCCTTGTCCACGCAGGCAGGCCGGAGGGGTGCGCGGACAGCGCGTTCCCGGGAAGTTCTCGGACAGCCAGGCCGCCGTGCCCAGCTCGCTGCTGAAGCGTCATCCGAGCTGTGGAGAGCTTACGTGTTAGTCTGAACTAAATGAAGGGTAAACGTGCTTAGGAAAATGCACTGATTTCTGGTTATGTGTACAGTATTGGACAAAGGATTTTATTCATTTTCGTTGCATTATTTTGAGTATTGTCTTTTCATTTTAATAAAGTTATAATACTTATTTATGATACTGTTAATAATGTTTCTTGCCTACACTCGCACACAATTTTATGTCTCAAGTAATTAGACAACATCACCATCTTTGAGCCTAAGGGAAGATTTTTTTTTTTTTTTAATCCTCACCCGAGGACATTTTTCCATTTATCTTCAGATGGGAGTTGGGAGGGGGGATATCAGTGAGAGAGACACATCAATTGCCTCCTGCATGACCCTGACCGAACTGCAACCAAGGTACCTGCACTTAGTTGGAATCGAACCCGCAACTCTGGTGCATAGACCAATGCTCTAACCACTGAGCCAAACCAGCCAGGCCACCAAAGGAAGATTTTCTGCAGTTTTAATACACGCTTGAAATTTACTACCCTTCCCTAACATGACAGATAAACGGAGCAATTTGTACTTAAATATGATACAAATGCACAGTGAAAATGAGCTGTTTGTATTTACCTTTCATAAGCAAGCGAACTTGAACTGATGCCGGGGTGTCACTATCAAAACAGGTGTCCTCTGGGGAGCGGAAAGTAATGGGAGAAACCAGCGCTAACAGACTTGATGTGACTCGATTTTGAGACCGAGGACTAGGCTGGGACGACTCGGCCCTTGGGAGGCTCTGCTTGCTTAATGTGAGGCCACCGAGGGCCCCCACCTGCCGGCCTCACGGAGACGGGTCCAGGGGCAGCTCTGCAGGAGGGAGCGGGAAGGCTGGTTGAGGGGACGCCCCGGTGTCCCCCGGTTCTCCGCACGTCCTCTGCCCGCCCTCCTCTCAGCACTCCCCAGTTCCTGGGCCACGGGGAGGCTCCCGGTGCCTCACTGACCACCTGCAGGTCCTGGTGTCCTCCATCCAGAGTGAAGACTTGGAAACCAGACGCCTGGGCTGACAGCCCAAGTCCACCTCTTTCTGACCAGCGTTGGGCAGACTCAGAAATCTCTGCACCTCCGTTTTCTCACTGGTGAGATGGGGCGGGAGGTCCTTCCGAGAGCAGGTCATCAGTGACAACCGCACAGAAGCCATAGGACATAGTGTCCGCACACGCACTGCTTTGTGCCCGTCGGTTACTCGCCCTGCAAGGTGGGTGTTACTTCTGCACTTTCGCAGATGAAGAGATGAGCTCGGAGAGTTCGTTCAGCTGCCATCTGTTGAACACCAACCCGTGTTAGATCCGGGGCGAACCCCGCCCTCACGGAATGTAAAGCAGTCGGGGAAATGCTGGACAGGGACAAGGGCCCTAGCTCGAGGTGCAAGACTGGAAGGGTCAGGGTCCGAGATGGAGACGGGAGAGGACAGGGAGGAACAGCACAGGGAACAAGTGACAGACCCCGAGGCAGCGAGGGCCGGCCTTTCCGGAAGCTGGGCGTCGTGACGGCGGGGACAGGGTGGACCACGGGGAAGGCAGTGGGCGCCCCTCGAATCCGTGCGTGGGGTGACGGAATCTGATTTGATTTAAAAAGATGACAGGACCCTGGCTGGCGTGGCTCAGCAGTTAGAGCTTCGGCCTGCAGACCAAAGGGTCACGGGTTCCATTCCCAGTCAAGGGCACGTACCTGGGTTGCAGGTGTGAGGTCGTGCAGGAGGCAACGGATGGATGAGTCTTTCTCACATCGATGTTTCTCTCTCTCCCTCTCTCTTCCACTCGCTCTTAAATATCCACAGGTGAGGGTTAACCAATAAGTAAATAAATAAGTAAAAAGGCGGGAGGGAAGCGAAGGGAAGGAGACTTCAGGACAGGCTGTCCTGACAGGTGCGTGTGGGTGGTGGGAATGGAGAAAAACTGGCTTGAAGACAGGCAGTGGCAGAATCCAGGTTCACGGCCTCAGGTGGGACACAGAGCAGAGAGGGCGCTGGTCCCCCAGCCCTCCAGCGGCGCAGGCTGTCCTGGGGCTGTCTGATGTGCTGTGTCTTCGCTGCCAGGGGCCCTATTCCAAAAAAGAGCCCCACAGATTCTTCTAGTGTTTCATAGTTGGAGACAAGAGACTACATCCATCTGTCTACTGGTTCAAGAATCAAAATGTGTCTTAAACTATTCTTATTTTTGTTCTTAATTTCACCACATAATTTATAGTCTCAGGGTCTATGGAGCCATTTTCTTTAAGCCCCTAGCATGGCCATTGCATGGCCATTTCTTACTTTTTATTTTGAAATAATTATGGACTCCCAAGAAGTTTCTAAAACAGTACAGAGAGGTCCCATGTACCCATTACCCAGATTCCCCCAGTGATAACATCTTATATAATTACAGCCCATTGTCAGAACCAGGAAATTGACATTGTCACTGTATGTATAGAAATAGTTACTATCAAAATGGACTTGGTCCTACTCTTTATATATTGATATTGGCATTTTGTGCTAAGCTAATAAAGCTTTGCAAACATGCTGCCATGTGAACTATACGTTACGGTGATGGTAACTGAGAAGATGAACTGATGTTAACTTTCATCTGCCAAGATTTTCTGCAAGATGAATTTGCGTTAGCTCTGGCTTCAAACCAAGGAGTCCTGAGCGGAGCTCCCTAGGTCTTCAGGTATGCACAGCCCCGAAGGTTCACATCCTTGGAAGAGTGTGCACCAATCAGGAGGGGTACTGAATTTCTAAACCAGGACCAGAGCCCGGCTGGTGTGGCTCAGTGGTTGAGCATCGACCCATGTACCAACAGGTTTCTGGTTCGATTCCCGGGCAGGGCACATGCCCAGGCTGTGGGCCTGATCCCCAGTGGGGAGCATGCAGGAGGCGGCCAATCGATGTTCTCTCTCATCGATGTTTCTCTCTCTCTCTCCCTCTCACTTCCTCTCTCTCTAAAATCAATAAAGGAGAAAAAATAAAACACAATAAAAATAAACCAGGACTCAGAACTTGCAGTATTCTTGTCCTTAGGAAAGTGTGGTTCAAACTAAAGCACACTCAGAGACGTGTCTTCTTGGCGGACTGGACCACTGACCAACGCTCTGGCCCTTGTCCACTCCACATGAGAATCACAACTTTGAAGAGAAGTTTTGGGGATTCATTTGGGGAAGGTTGAGAGGAGAGCACAGGGTAGAAGATTCAAATGTGTCCCAACTTGGCTAGCCTCGCCTTTTGCAACTTGTCACTGAGTGAATGAGTGAGGCGGGCAGGCGTGCCTAACGCAGTTGGAGGGTGTGAATTGTCATGCTTCCTCTGCACTTGGAAGTATCGAACTCGAAGATCCTTCTGCCTCAGCCATCAGGAATCACTTACAAAGCGTGTTTGAACAGGCCAGCTCCGCTGCGGGTTATCAGAACTCCGTGGCCAACACACTTGGTGGGGATGTGTTTCTGCCCCGGAGGAGGCCCTACCGCCCTGCAACCACCCTTCGTTCTTCAAGGCCCAGGCCCCTTGGCAGGGGAGCAGGTCGGGGGTGGCCGGGAAGGGCTCTTCCACAGACAAGTGTTGACCTGCCTAGAAAAAGCCGCTCTCTGGCCACTGGGCTGGGGCATGCCTCCCCGTGCCGTCTCTCAATTCCAGAAAACGGCCAGAAACCTCAAGCAAGTCGGCCTGTAGCAAGTGCACTAAGACAGTATCCATGAGGCCACCACGTACAGCTACAGCTTCTCCCCTCCCGAAGTAAAAAGGCCAGGGGGAGGAACCAGTCCTGGGGAGAGTGTGTATCAACCACCTTGGCTCTGTGTCCTTATGGACAAAGGCACCACCTTCATTCCTTGGAAATAACTTGGATCCACGTCAAACATCTTAATCACACGCCTGCTGCGTATTTCACTTTGCAGTGGGCGGGGCCGGCCCGGAGCCTCCCCCGGACTGCGCGACCTGTGGACACACCCTTCTTGTGTAAGGCTAATGAGTGTCTTTCTGGACGGAGCTGCGCCGCCTGGGGCACAGCACGCAGGAAGCTGCATTTCGTAGGTGCCAAGTCCCGGCTGTCCTGGTGTTCTTGCAAAAGCCGATGTCCTCGTGCATGGTTTTCTCTTGAGTAATCGATGGAGGTTCTTGGCTAAGCAGAAGCTTTGGACGGTGCCCCCGGATCAGCCAGGCGCAGAGCCCAGCTCGGCAGCGCTGCAGCGGGCACCTCGCACCCACCACAGCCCAGACGCGTGATAAGACTTGTCTGCGCATCACCCCGGCCGGGAGCCTCTAATTACATGTCTGGGGCCTGCCGGAGCCCAGGTGGCCAGCTCACATGCTCCAGAACTGTGAAGATAGTTGGGGCTTGGTTCT